GAGGATTCTGGACGCGGGGACAGCGAGCCTTCTTCGACATCAGATTTTGATCCCATGCCGTTTGTCACCGTAACCTTAGCTCTCGATGCTGCACATAGGAGGAACGAGAACGACAAGAGAAGGGGCATATGGGGAGAATTCAAAATGTCGATCAAGGCAGCTTCACTCGCTAGTGTTCACAACCTCTGTGGATGGGGCCTAAGGCAAGATGTTTCTACGCCAGATCTGGAGCTGATCTCCGAAAGAAGCGAGCAGCCAGAAGTTATGTCATCCAGCCTGGATGAGATGTCGACTGTCCTCTCTCCTTCGGTCGGCTTTGCTCTGCCTCAGGGAACGAGAGCTTCTGCCCTATCTATCAACTGCTGCAGATATCGACTATGAGGCTAAAGTAACGAATGCCGCATCGATCTGCGGCTCAACTATTTAACACAGATAGGATAGTTGCTTTGTATTAGGATATTTAATATTAAAATAAATGTATGAAGGTGTGTATTAGAGTGGAGGCCACGTTTAAAAAAAAAAACTACTACTACTACTACTACTACTACTACTGCTACTACTACTACTACTACTACTTACTACTTACTACTATACTACTACTACTACTACTGCTACTACTACTACTGCTACTACTACTACTATACTGCTACTACTACTGCTACTGCTACTGCTACTACTACTACTACTACTGCTAATAATAATAAAAAAATAATAAAAATAATATGTTAAAAATGGGTGCTCATAATAACAGTAAGAAAGAAGATGAAGAAGAACAAGAAGAACAAGAAGAACAAGAAGTGAAAAACAAGAAGAAGAACAAGAACAAAACAAAGAAATAAAGAATAAGAAGAAAAAAAGAAAGATAAAGTAAAAGAAAGTGAACAGACCACACACACACACACACTGCTCACACGTGCACTCTCATCTTCACTACAGGAGGAGAATTTTAACGTAGAAGCTTAAGTGAGAGTGAAGACTCGTGACGGTGATGGAGGTAAAGCCTTCTGATTGGTTGGCTACACAGGAGGGTTTCTGATTGGTTAGATACGGATGAGGCCTTCTGATTGGTTGGTTACACTGGTGAGGTTTTCTGATTGGCTAGACATCGAGGCCTTCTGGTTGGTTGGTTACACAGGTGAGTTTTGGTTGGCTAGACATCGATAAGGCCTTCTGGTTGGTTGACTACACGTGAGGGTTTCGATTGGTGACTACACAGGTAGGGTTTCTGATTGGTTGACTACAGGTGAGCCTTCTGATTGGTTGGTTAAACAGATAATCGCTCGTCAATAGGCAGACGGCCAATCACTCTTGATTGCCTCACACACACACACCTGTGGAGGGAGGGAGGGAGGGAGAGGAGGGAGGGAGGCCACCCCAGTGAGGGGAACAGCCTCCTCAAGAAGAGAGGGTATGGCAGCTATCCGAGGCCAGGGGTGTCCCTCGACCAATACCTCCCAGTCAGAGGGCAATCGGGAGGTTAAGCCAAACCGATGGTGATTTTCCGTAGAATATTTCATGGTGTGAGAAGCTGTGCTCTGTCTGTCTGTCTTTCTCTCCTTCCCCACACCTCCCAAATTTTTCCCCCCTCACCTCCCCTCTCTCTCTCACCTCTCCAACCCTCCCCTCCTTCCCTCTCCCCTCCCCTCTCCAATCAATCCTCTTCTCCCTCTCACCTCTCCAACCCTCCCCCCTCCTTCCCTCTCCCCTCACCTCTCCAATCAATCCCTCTTCTCCTCTCACCTCTCCAACCCCACCCCTCCTTCCTCTCCCCTCACTCTCAACCTCCCCCTCCTTCCCTCCCCCTCACCTCTCCAACCCTCCCCCCTCCTTCCCTCTCCCCCACCTCTCCAACCTCCCCCTCCTTCCCCTCCCCTCACCCTCTTCAATCAATCCTCTTCTCCCTCTCCCTCTCCAACCTCTCCCCTCCTTCCCTCTCCCACCTCCAACCCTCTCCTTCCCTCTCCCCCTCACCTCCAACCCTCCCCCCTCCTTCCCTCTCCCCTCACCTCTCCAACCCCTCCCCCTCCTTCCCCTCCCCTCACCTCTCCAATCAATCCCTCTTCTCCTCTCCACCTCCTCAACCCCTCCCCCTCCTTCCCTCTCCCCTCCCACCTCTCCAATCATTCCTCTTCTTCCTCTCCTCTCCACCCCCCGCGCCTCACAATACCCACACCACCTCAGAGTCACGTTTCAGGTCGAGCTACTACACCCACACATTCGACACGCAACATCTGACACCCTAATCAACCATTCGACACGTCATGCGACACAAGGGAGGAAAACAGAACACACACACACACACACACACACACACACACACACACACACACACACACACACACACACACACACACACACATAAATAAACCGTTTGACACATTTCCGACACACACACACTGTAAACCGTTTGACACACTCCCGACACACTTGAACAAACCATTCGACACACTCCAAACACACTAATGTGACAAGTTCTGAACATGTTTTGAACACACTCGTCACGCTTGGACACCTTTAAAACGCATTCGATACACGTCATGGACAACACCCGCGGGAGGGAGGTGGAGGGTGGATGGGGGTTGAGGATGGGGGTAGGGATGGGGGAGGAGGAGAGGAGGATGAGGAAAATGAAGGAGGGAGGGGGAAGGAGGAAGAAAGGAAGGGGAGGAGGGCTGAACAGGAGGATAAGGAGGAGGAAGAGAAGGAGGAAAGGAGGAAGAAAAAGAAGGAGAAAGGAGGAGGAGGAGAAGAGGTGGTCAAGGGGACCCTAATCAACAAGCCGTGTTGAAACTATGGTGTCGGTACCCTCAGGAGTATTGTATGCAAATGGTGTCAGGATAATTATATAAACAACCGCACAAGATGACCTCTGACCTCACCACTACCCATCACTATACCACTGACTCATCATCATGCCATCATTACTACCATCAAAATCACAACCACACCCTATCATCACTACTACCACCACTAACACCATCATCACTACTATCACCACCACCATTATCTACCATCACCACCATTATCCTGACACCACTACCACCACTACTATCACCACCACCATTATCACCACACCACTACCACCATCATTCCCACCATCACTCACTGGATGAAATTAAAGTAAATAAAATTAAAATAAATAATAATGTGAAACAAATAAAAAGAAAAAATAATGTGATACCAATAAATATGGAATAGACAAAATAAACGATAAGATGCAGAAATAACCAATAATTTATCACTATATAATAAAAACACCACGATAAAAAAAAATATCTTAAAATAAACCACAAAAAAAAGAATTATATGACTAAAAACCCACACAAAACACAAACAAACACACTGAGACCCAGCAATGTCCATCACGATGTTTTAATCTTAAAATTCGGTGTTTTCTGGTAAAATATTGTCAAAAATTGTTAGTAAACAGTTGATGGGTGAGGGCAGTGATGGGGTGAGGGCAGTGGGAGTGAGGGCAGTGATGGGTATGTTTTATTGAGTGTGTGTGTGTGTGTGTGTAAGACGATGACAAAAACATCAGGATTTTCTAACTGCAATTTACTTCTCTAAAACAAACAATAACGCAATCACCAAATACATAAGTTCAAGATAAATACAACCAAAAAATACCAAAAAAAAAATTGGACGGTACAGTGAAAGGACACTCATTCACTCTCTCAAACTATCTTACATACCCAAAAGTACATTTAGAGCCTTGTGAAATCAACCTAGAGCATCTACGATACATTCCACAGCAATTTGGAAAGCCCATGAGAGCCTCCTAGAGCCTCCCAGAGCCCTTGACGTCACAAACTAAAGGAACGCCATCACCAACCACCTCTCCAGCACCAATAATCTGCCTTCACCTTATACACTTCCTCCTGATCACACACACACACACACACACACACACACACACACACACACACACACACACACACACACACACACACACACACACACACACACACACACACACACACACACACACACACACACACACACACACACCTATTAAACACTCTTTCCTCCCACACATCTCTATCTCCTTTCTGCTTCCTCCCCCAACCCTCCTCCTCCCACACACAACCCTCCTCCCTCCCTCCCACACAACCCTCCCTCCCTCCCTCACTCACATACTCCTCCCTCCTGCCCTCCTCTACTCACATGCCTCCTGGAGCCACTAGTTGAAGAATAACTCCTAACGTTTAATGGAAGAGCAATGGGCAAATTACCATGTTAATGCCCTCAATACTGGGGTATTAGTATATAAAACAGGCTTGAATGGTTTGAGTCAATATTAGTCTGAGTAGCATGGGTGAAAACAACAGGTGAGTCCTTGTGTTTTAACCCTCTTCCTTTCTATTCTCTCTCTCCTTGTTCTCTCCCACTCTTGTTCTTCCCTCTCCCTTCCTCCCCCTTAACTACACTCATTTACATAATAAATTCTTTCAACTATCAACTACTGGTACGCCTCATAAGCAATTAACTGAAACTTCAGGTGGGGGGTTTTTCAGTTCCAAGTGGGGGTTTCAGGGGTTCAGAGTGGGGTTTTCGGATGGGGTTTCGAGAGGGATTCAGAGGTGTTTCAAGTTAAGTCTTTAAATATGTTCGAGAGTTATGTGAGGGTTGTAGGGGTTTCCGGGGTGGGTGTTCAAGTTCCAGTTGGGTGTTTGGGGAGTTCAGGTGGGTGTTTCAGGGAGTTCAGTGGGTGTTTCAGGGATTCAGGGTGGGTGTTTCGGGGGATTTCAATTTCGGTAGAGGGTAAGGGTTTCAGAGGGCTTCCAGTAGTGGAATTAAATGAGATTGTTCTGGAGCTAGAATCTTAACATCAAGTTCTACACAATAATCTTGACCTACCTGAGTGAGTTCTACCCAATTAAGGTTCTTACCTGTCAAGTTCCTACCTAATCAGGTTCCTACCACACAATTAGTTTCTACACAATCAGGTTCTACCACAATTAGAGTTTCTAATTCTAAGTTTCCTACCTACATTCAAGGTTCTCTACCACAATCAAAGTTCTCTCTAATCAAGTTCTCTACAATCAGGAGTTCTACCCAATTAAGAGTTCACAATCAAGAGTTCCTACCACAATCAGAGGTTCCTGCACAATCCAAGAGTTCCTCACAATCAAGACCTGAACACGTCATGACCAACATTAGCATCACGGAACCGAGTTGCCTTTACCATACCCACTCTCCGTGTGTGTGTGTGTGTGTGTGTGTAACATCATGCAGGTAGGCATTTGGTGACCCGCCACACACTGTTGACCAAACCGTCAGCTTCCACTTCTCCACCACCCATGCCCTTATCCAGCACTTTAATCCCACGCATCAGCACTTTGCGTCCCTGTAACAGTACCCAACGATAAGCACTACTCCATACAATCTCTCCCAATCTGCAAATCTGCTCCCCTCTCCCCCCCTCTAACCATTAAACTCGTCATTTCATTGTGGGTTAAGAGAGGAGGGGGAGAGGAAGAGGAAGAGCAGTCTGAGAGCAGTGAGGAGGGGGAAGGAAGAGGGAGTTCTCAGGTAACCAGGTAGCAAAACACCCCAGTTTCCTCCCTTATTTCTCACAGGTAGACTCACCTCCTCCCCCCTCTCCATCTACAGGTATGTCTCTCTCTCTCCCTCCCCTCCAGTGAAATCACCCACTCCCTCCCTCCCTCCCTCCTCCTCCCCTCTGGGTAACCTCCTCCCTCCCCGTACTGGAAATGTTCCGTAACATTCAGCATATAATATCCTGACCACTGGGGTCCAGCTAAACACCCTTTATAGTACTGGTCTCTGTAATCCTTTTGACAATACCACTCAGAGGGTATGCAATTTTGATAAACTAATTGCTGCCCATTTCCTGTCATATTCCCTTCACAAGTAACCTCCCTCCCCCATCACGCTCACCTCCTCCTCCCAAGAAAAGCCAACCTCTCCCCTTCAACCTCCTCCCCCATCTGCCTTCCCCTAAGCCTCCTTAATCTGTGAGCATCACCCAGGGTCGTGTGTGGCAGCACCTGGTACGTTCTAATAAATTTAGCCTAATCGGTCTTCTCTTAGTATGTCCTGTTGACTGAGCTGCAGTGGTTTGAATCACCTGATTAGCCCACCCCGAGGTTGTTCACCTGATGAATAGACCTAATAACACTGCCGGGGAGGAGGTTGATGGAATTGGAATTGGGTTAAGTTGGAGTTGGCGTTAGAAGAGATAGACGCACCCAGACTGATGAATGAATAGATAGATGAGATGAATGGGAAAAAACAATCAACCATCAATCCTCAATTCTGATATTAATTCCATTTCCAGATGACTCATTCTTGTTCCCAGAAGTGACTCTCATTCCATTCCGTTCTCTCATTCCATTCCCAAATGCCCTCTCATTCCCAGTTTCCTTAGGCCTCTGACCCACCTCCTTGAGACCCAAATTAATCTTAATCAACAATGCCTTTCTCCTACATTTTATAATATTAAACTCCATTAGTATGACCCTGACCTAACCTAACCTAACCTTCCTTAATCTAACTCGCTCTCCATCTCCCGATATTAAACCACTATATGACTATAATAACAATACCCCAGATTGACCCCCGGGGTGTTGTTCATAATGAAGGTTCAAATTAATAAAGCAAAACACCGTATGTGTAAATGTTGAGGAAGTTTATTCAATGTGGGGTGAGGAATTGAAGAGATATGCATGGAGAATGTGTGTGTGTGTGTGTGTGAGGTGTCACCAGTGCGGAAGGTTGAACGCTTAGGAAGTTGACCCACTAATTTATAGGTCTTGCCACATGCACTGCATGCAATACACACGCTTGGAATGTCCGTTCGTCTAGTAATCATAGCTAACCTACTGCCCCCCCCGATTCTCCCCACTTCCTTTGGGTTCCCCAGCCAGTGTGACCTGAGAAAGAAGAACAGCAACAACAACAACAACAGCAACTGCTACTACCTTCTTGCACTGATAATATAAGCGCTGAGGTGGCAGCAACCTGACCTCTGACGACACATTGTTACATAATCGGCTCCAGGCCCACACCTCTCTGCTACTGTGGTGGTGTGCTTACACTGGCACCACTTCTATATGGTGCCAAATGTCCTGTACCATCAGACCCTTCACAAAGAGCTATCACGTTACGTGGTATAATTCTTAACACTATTTTTCAATATTCTAAATTAACGGATTGTTGTTCATTAAATTTTTTTTATCATTACTGTTATTATTGCTATTATTGTTATTACTATTATTATTATTATTATCATTATTATTATTTATTGTTATTATTATTATTATTAGAGTATTTACAGACTAATACATTTCTATATCTCTCTCCATCTCCCCTTCACCTCTCCTCACAATCCAATTCCCCATTACACCCCCTACCACTGTCTAGCCCCCTCCCTCATATTTCCTTGTCTTCCTACCTGTCCCTCCCCCACCTTTCCTCCTACTTCCCCCTCCACTCACCACCTTTCCAGTTCCCTGCCCCCACTCATCTCGTCATGCACCTCAAGTATAACACTAAGAGTAAAACTCGTTATAACAACCTCACGTTTGAATTCTAAACTCTCTATCTCATCTTCACTTTGTGCTGTAACAGGGCTGTTTGTCTCTCTCTCTCTCTGAAATGGCCTATAGTTCTCACTACATCATTACTATTACGGTCCTTGCAGTTATCGTCATCATCATCATCCTTTATAAACTTTACCACAAGACACATTAACAAATTGCCTGGGACAGAGTGATATATATATGAGGGCATTTCCTTCCCTGCTTTCCCTATCTCCTCCAGCTTTTACACTTTCCTTTCTGATTCTCTTCTGCCCTACACTCTACTCCCTCCTACCTTACCTCCCTCTTCTTCCCTTATCCCCCCTCCCTCCCCAGCTCCTCATGTCTCCCCCATAACTCTCCCCTCCTCTTTCTATCCTCCGTCTCCTTCCTTCCTGTCTGCATCCCTCTCCCTGCCCCTAAGTCCATGGCCGGGGGCACAAGCTCTCTCAGCCTCACAGAGCCCTTCAGACCTCCATTCATTCATCTCTATTTACGCTTTGAAAACTTCTTTCAAAGTTCTGCGCCACAGCCACAGGAAGAATCCCCGAGGGCCTTGCAGGTAGGAAGGTTGTGACAGGCAGGGCGGGGAGGACACGTACTCTTTCTCTAACTCCCCAAATATATACTTCTAG